ATATAATATATTAGTTTTACTACAATAACTTGCAAATTTTTTTTTATAGCCTCATATTCTTAAATAAGCCAAGATAGTATATAATCTTTTTTCTTAATTTCTTCAAGAGTTTCAAACAATATATAATATAAAGGAACAGTTATTGTTAAGATTAGATATTCAGATGCTAACATAATTGTTATTATATCTTTAAATGATTATAAGACCTCTACAAGAAGTTCTATTTTTGTCTATTCATTAAAGACATGACAAAAATCAAGTGATTTTTTAGAGAGGGAGAGGGTAAAAAAAGTTAAAATTATATATAAGAACCTGATTTTTTTTTATATTAAGAAGGGGAGAGAGGGTAAGCCTTTGATAAAAAATAATCAGATGATAAATAATACTATTCTTATCTGTAAAAATATACTGATACAAGTTTACTTCTGTAAAAACTATAGCATCTAATACTATTTTTAATATTATAGCTTGTTCATATATATTAAATATAGAGTTTTAATAGGTAGTTACATCAAGAATTGGTTTCACTATATTTATATTATGTATTAAGTATATTGTTTTTAATTTCTTATGACAAACATATGACTCTCAAATACTTTTAATCAAATTTTATAATTTGGTTAATTTATTTCTTGCAATATTTAATAAACTATAAATAGCAAGGTTCAAAATATGACCAAAATATCTTATGAATTGTTGTATAGGATTAAACTGTAAACCCAACTGCTCCATAAAAATAAAAAAGTTTTGTACAAATTTAATATTGGAGAAAATATTATCATGTGTAATAGCTATAAGCTTTGATATAATTTCTATTGATTTAAGGCAATCTTTTATTTTATTAGCAATTTCAAAACCTTATAATTATAATATTAATAAAGTATTAAGTAATTGATCAATTAATAATTAATCTTAAATATATTTAAACTAAATATTATTTATTTAAATAAAATTCTTAAAAATTTATTACAATTAATTATAATATCATTTTATTAACACTTTTAATAAATATTACCTGAATGTGAACCATCCATATTAATAAAATCTAGAAGAATACTTTTTAGTTTCCAAAAAGTATCCAAGTAATGAAGAATAAAGAGGCTTCCAGAAATTAGCTGATTTTAGAGTAGGTGAATGGGTTAGCCAGTATATCAGATATAATTTTGGCTAGAATTATCAAGTTTTAGCTAAAATTTAAAAATATTTTTAAGCCAAATTATAAACTTGTTAATAGGGTTGTATTAATTTATCTAACAATAGAACTTATATTGTAACTTATATTATAAGTTATATACCACCATGTAAATTATAATTATAAGATATTAAAGCTAATCAGATAATACACATCTTGCCAACATTAATATATTTAAATTGTAAATTACAAGTTCTTTTTTTTTTTATACAATATAGCGATTTAGATATGTATTTTTTAAATAAGTTAATAAGCTAATACAATTTTTTTTTATAATAAAATACGTTTATTTATATAAATGCTTTTTATTATTAATTATAATGAAGTGAATAAGATTCGATTAATTGATCAACAAAATTATTAAGATCAATAGAAAGCTATAATCTTTATTTAATCTATGTATCAATGAACTAGAAATTAGATTTGGATAAGTGCTATCTTGAAATAATATACTAGAATTTCCTATTTCAGCTAATTTTTTATATTGAATCAATATTCTATACTCATCCTTTTAATATCAGTTTTATTTTGATAATAGCATCCAATCTGAAATATTTATTAAGATTTTCTATCTAGATAACCTGTATATAAAAGTATCTGTTTAAGATATTAGCTATTTAATTAATCGAATAGAAGTACAAAAATTTTAATTCAAATATATATATAAATATTTACCTTATATTACTTTAATATCTACATTTTAAAATTATATATTCTAGTTTTAATAATAACAAATGCTTTATAAAATCATTTAGCAGATTTTTGATAATATATAAATGTTTTAAATTTATCTTGTTTTAGCTTCGATTATACTACCATAATAACATATATTCAATTAACTTTCTCATCTTAAGAATTTTTGATAATAAACGAATTCCTTGTTTGTTTTGACTCTAATTTCATAATAGCAATTAATGAGTGCAAATATTTCATCAAAATCACTTATTCACTCAAATTATTGATAATATATAAATATCTTATCTTGCTTTTATCCAATATATATTCTATTAGCACTATTCTATTACTTATCATTGTCTATATCATTTATACTATCTATATTATCTATATTGCTTATATTGTCAATACTATTTAAATTCTCTATAATTTTATTTATATCTATATTGTCAATTTTGTTAGTATAATCTATATAATCTATATATGATGGACTATCAAATAAAAAAACATCTATATTATTTTCTTTAACTATATTGATTTCATTTAATTTCAAATTAACAGCATTGTCTTCAATTAAATAGCCTCTATTTCTTAATTCTTTAACTGAAAGTGGCTACTTTAAAGAATATAAAATTTGAAGATTCTAGTAAATATATACTATTTTTTCTATATGTGGATTATATAAGCAATTATATAATTTAAAGTAAACAAAATTAAAAGATGATCAGTTTCATTCAGAAGAAACCAATGATGCTAGTATTAAAAATAATTTTAGTGTTATACTATTTAGTACTGGATATCAGGCTTTAACTAAATTCTACCAATTATATAGTTTTTTTTTTATTGAACCCTATAAGTAATTGGCCAAAAATCTACTAGTTTTTCTTACATATTCTAAAAGTTTTTCTAGAAGTTGATTTCTATTCTTTAGTCCAGCAAGACGTATAAGCTCTTTTTTAATTGATGCATCCTATTTGTTCAGATCTAAAATTTCTTTGCAATGCTATAGATCTAATTTATATGCTGCTATTGTTGCTAAATTGTATAAAAAATCATTCTAATATTGCTCTACTAATCTTATACTTTCTATGATTACTGTAGTTAGAATAGAATTATTATTATGTATTATTGTTTCTAGTTGACATAATTTAAAAAAAGCTACAGATAAAAGTGATATATCTCCTTCTAATTTATGAATAAATTTGACAAAAGGTTCTAAAAAGTTATATTGATGCCTAAGATTTTGCCAAAAACAATCATTTATTAAATGAATTTTGATACTAAGGTAATTTCTATACTTTTTTCTATTAATAATGAACGAATTATATTTTTTGTTTGTAGCAAATGATCTATACAATAAAACACAGATTCTCAATGTGTATCTACTGTTTGTACCAAAAAAATTAGATGCCTATATTTTTTTATTTGAAGACAGCAGAATGCAGCTTGTAGTATATTATGATTTCTAAAATAATTAATAATTTTTTTGCTAGTTTCTAATACACTTTTTGGCCAATCAAATTTTAGAATATCTTTGATCTAAAGATTAATTTCATAAGCCTAGTATCCTAAAAATACTTTTGTTGGATATTAATTTTTAAGTATATACCAAACAGCTTTTATGTTGAGTGCATTGTCAATAATAATAGCTACAAACTTGTTAATATCAAGTTTTTGCATAATTTTGTCTATTCTTTCTGTAATATTTTGTGCAGTATATTGATCTTCTTTTGTATATACTGATTTATAAAAAAGTGGTTTAGGGTCATAGTCATATAATTAATAATAAAATCTTTCTGAATATTTGACCAACCATCTATTACAAGATACAAAATTGTATTTCATTAAGTAAGTAATTAATAATAGTATTTAAACCAGAATATTCTTTAGTAAGAAGAGAGTTTGAAAGAGAATAATATATAGGTAATTTAAAGTATAGTAATGCTTTTAAAAAAAAAGCTTTTATATTATTATTTTCTAAAATATTAAACAAAATACTAGCAGAATAAAATCTACAAGCTAACAAACTTACTAGTTTTTTTTGATCTGCATTAGTAAACTTGTATAAAAAATTTCTTATCTTTGTTTGTTATTTATAGTTAATAGTTCTTATATTATTATTATTATATATAAAGCTTGATATAGAACTTGATATAGAACTTAATATATTACTATTATCAGAATTTTTTAAATTGCAATAGTTATAATGTTTTTGCATTCATGTTCAATTTTTGACTCATGAATTATTACAAACTTTACATTTTCACTGTTCTTGTCCTTTTTTATTTACTATTTTTTCAAATTCGTCCCAAAAGTTTCTTTATTACGAGGCATATTAAATCAATAAATGATAAAATTTTTTTTTTACAATTTTTTTTATCTTATATTATATAATTTACTTTATATAATAAGTTATACAATATAAAATATAACTTACATTTTAAAAATAACTTATAGTAAGTTATACAACCCTACTTGTTAATAATTAATTATAAAATTTTAATTATTAATAACTTTTGATTTACTAGACCAATTTGAATGATTTAACTACTAAAATAATCCTCTTAATAAGAAAATTCTAACAAGCTCAAAATTATAAAAATCTAATTACTAGATACTAAGATATAAATAGTTTTGTATTACTATATAATAATATAATAAAATATATTATATAATAATACAAAACTATTTATATTTTAGCATTTAGTAATTAAATTTTTATAATTTTATGCTTGTTAGAATCTTCTTATTAAAAAGATTATTTTGATAGTTAAATTATTCAAATTGACCTAGTAGATCAAAAGTTATTCAATATTAAATATTATATATATTTTAATTATAAGTTTTAATAAATATGAAATCTAATTGGCTAGTAGGTAAGGAGTAGGGTAGGTTTGAATGATTTATTAGTAAACCCTAATCAGCTAATTTCTAGAAGCCTTTTAACCACTATAAATAATTTTTTATTAGTATTTGTTGTCTATATATTAGTTGTGACTAAAAGTTTTTCAGAAATTCTTTGTAATTTCTTTATAAGCTTGCAATGTTCTTTATTGAAATTGTTTATTATATATTATTTTATAGAATCTGCAGAAGGTGTAGTCGCTTGTGGTTCTAAGTAAGTAAATATTGCTTTGAGCTTATCATCCTTAACAATATTAAATGCCTGATTGCATTTAACAACCCATTGCTAATAAGATCTTTGAAAATTTTTAAATCAAAAGATTCACAAGGATATTTATTAATACATTGGTTTCTTAACATATTCACAACACTAATATTCGGCTTTCCTTTATCCAATTTAGGTACCTTTTCTTTGTATTTGAAAAGATGTTTTATAAGACTTAACATTGGTCTACACATTTGATTAATTTTTTAATGGTACAAAGCTTGTATTTAGCATAAGAAGTTTCTTTTTTTTAAAAAAATATTTTTATACAAATGACCTTGTATATTCAGAAGACTCATTATTAGTAGCAAACTCTATTTGTAATGATTCATTTGCTTTATCAGTTTTCATAATATCATCTTTATTGGTACAATAGTTTATATATGAATCATTAATTTCAGGAGAATTTCTTATATAGAAATTGTCTATAAAAGAATAATCTGTATAAAAATCATTTATATAAGAGTTATCAAGATTTTTTATATTGGTTCAAAAGTTAATACAGCTTATATATATTAAAAAAAAGACAAAAAGTTTAGACTCATCAATTATTACAACTCAATCGTTTTAATAAACCTTTGCTTATTTTCAAAACTCAGGCCTTTATTTTTAACACAAAAAAATTTTAAATGCAAACAACTAGAGTTCATCTAATCATTAGTAGTTGGTAGTATATAAATATATATATATATATATATTTTTTATTTCAAACTATTTTTTTGATAGCACTTGAATTAAAATATGCAAATAAAAATAAAAGCTAAATCTGTTTTTCTCTTAAAAAAGTGATACTATTTGATGTTTTAAAATCCGATTTTTTTTATACTATTTGATTACTAACATTTTATTGGTTAAAAGCATATGATTAAATATGCGAGTTTATATAGCTTCTACAAAGTATCTGTTATCACAAATCCAGAATCAGTTAATTTTTAAAAATTGTAGACCCAAACTCAAACCATAGAGTCAATTCTGGGTTTTGATTCAAGTCTACAAAATACTAATTTTATATATAGTATAAGTTAAATACTTAGTTAAAAATTATTATAATTATTTCAAAATTAAGCAAGATAATCTAAACTTAAAATAATTTGATATAATCAGATTTTGTTAAATTACAATTTATTCAAAATAATACAAATATGGCTTGAAAATATTAAATACATGATAAATATTAGTTTAAAAATTCTTAAAACTAATAATTTTATATATTTTATAGTTTAATCTTGATCTTGTTTCAATATGTAAAGTCTTTGCAATAAATGGTTTATATTTAATTGCAAGAATTTTACAAAATAAACTATTAATAATAATAAAAATTTTTTTTTTGCTTCACTTAGGCTGATCACGCCAGTACCTTTATTTAATCAAACGCTACTTGTGAAAGTGCAAAATTATTAAAACTATAGGTCTGACATCCTGCGGTTACCTCGAATAATCTAACCGATTACCTACACGTCTTACAGGCGATCTGCCGCACCAGAGAGGTACGATCAATTAAGATAATACCCTACTGAGAGCTCGTTCGACCACTGCTCTACAATAAGATGTTACCAATCTGATAACATCTTCTCATAGAGAAGTGAAAGAAAAAAATATATATATATAAATGAAACACAGAGGTATAGGGGAAAACGTGAAAAAGAAAAAAAAAAACAAATAGAAGAAAAAAAAAGGGGGGTAAGGGAAGAATAAAAAAAAAACAAAAACTAAACTAAATATAGGATTTTCATCCACACCGGACGGTCACGATTATAAGCCTGTGTCGGGCTTCTTAAAAATTACATACTGCTATCTAAACTATTCTCTA